GATGCATGTCAAAAGACAATCGTTTCCAAATATCCACTTTTATTCTTTATATCTCTGTAGGTTAGAGGTTGAGGAGATTGTTGTTGCGCTTAGTTGAATCAGGTTTACTGGTCTTCAAGTTAGTTTTTGAAATTTGATATTCAGACCTAGATACACTGCCAAAATAGCAAATTCATTCTTCAACTGTATAAATCATCCTGGATACGGATATTTCTATGCTGTATATAAGATATGATATGTTTGAATGCTGATATTTCTAGACCTATATAGCATCTGCTTCTGTAACAGGCTGTACAGATCACCAAGTTTGACTATCGACTTGCAAATAAGCTGGATACAGATTTGCAAAAGCTTAGATGCAGAGTTAATTATCATGCATTGAAGTTTGCTGACCCTATACTTGGAATGGGTGAGAAATTGGTCCAGCGAATGAGGATGAGGAGCGGCCATTTTATCGCTCTTCACCTAAGGTTAGACTTTTATTTATTTTTCTCATTTATGTCACATATATACAGTTAGTATTTGATCCTTGTTAATGTTATGGTTTTCCACTTTCCTTTGTCCTGTTTGATTTCTTATGTTTACTATAAGTGTTGTGCTATTTAATTTGTCTATTGCCTCTTCAGGAAGTTAAATGCATTGCCAAGAGTCTAGCATGTAGGTTCTTGGGTATAAGTTATGATTGACATTGCAGGAACATTTATCATACATGAGAATTGTGGCAAGGAATGTTGATAAGAAGCACCATATTATTTTGATTACGGCAATTTATTTTTAACGTTTGATGGATGTTTTAACTAATATTAGAAGAAGAAATAGTGTGCTGATCTATGTTGCTCGGACCCTCCGAAAATGTCGCCGGGTGTGTGTTGGATCCTCCAAAAGTAGTGTATTTTTGGAGGATCCGACATGGGTGTAGCAGCATTTTGGAGAGTCCGCACAACTTAGGTGCTGATGGTGAATATACTTCCATTAACAGGTTTGAACCCGATATGCTTGCATTCTCAGGATGCTACTATGGAGGGGGGGATAAGGAGAGGAGAGAATTGGGCAAGATACGGAAGAAGTGGAAAACTTTACATGTAAGTAATCGTCGTAATTGTGAGCTTCAAATATTTGATTGTTCCGTTTATGCACTGAAGTTTTGTCGATCTATATCTGAATTTTGGTTCTTTCTCTTCTTTGGATAGTTTAAATCCCCTGTAGTTAGCCCGTCTCTCGTTTGCACACAAGTTAGAAACTCGGGGGGATATGTGTCTTCCCCTCTACCCTCCTTCCACTTATATCTGGCAGAGTTCGAACTTGTGATGTGCGCTTGCCACACATCCCGTGCTCTAGTTCCTTTACTGTTGAACCTATGCCCGGTGCTGCAATTTTTAGGTTCATATCTTTCTCTATCAAAAAGAAAGAAAAAAGCACTTTTGGTTCAGATTTTCAATTGTGTAGAAAGAGGGAACTACCTATCAGAAAGAGAAGAGTCCAACACAACGGTATTGTTATGTTTCGGAATTAAGGGAAAGAAAGCTTCAACGAGTAGAAGCTTCCTGTCAAAGCTTTAAACAAAGAGGTTGGGCTGTTCACTTCATTGATTTGACTTCACTTTACTTAAGATTAGAGACAGGGGAGTGAAAGCTCATTTAGTGGACGGCGAGCAATCTGCAACCACCTACTCCTATCAAAAGGAAAAGCAGCAAGCGAGACTTGAAGAAGCGAGCCTCTATCAGAGAAAGCCATTGCGCGTTAGCCTCTTGTACAGTGTTAAGCCTGTTTTTGATGTGTGAAGCGACTATGCTACATAGTCTAGTGTAGTAAACTTGATTTTAGTTATCCTTGTCTTTGTATATACACACACACAGAGATACATACAGTTTGCAGTGTAAAGAACATGTTCTTACGCTACGAGCCAATTTTTAGCCCTACTTTCATACAATGTGATATGTGAACTCTATTTCCAATATACTTTCAGGACAGTGACCCAGATAAGGCAAGGAGGCATGGAAGATGCCCTCTAACTCCTGAAGAAGTCGGCTTGATGCTGAGATCACTTGGATATGGCGAAGATGTTCATATATATGTAGCATCCGGTGAAATATACGGAGGAGAAGAGACATTAACTCCATTGAAAGCCCTCTTTCCAAACTTCTACACAAAGGACACCCTTGCCACCAAGGATGAGTTAGAACCATTTTCTTCGTTTTCGTCTAGAATGGCCGCTCTTGACTTCATAGTTTGTGATGAAAGTGATGTATTTGTCACCAACAACCACGGAAACATGGCGAAAATTTTAGCAGGGCGAAGGTCTGATGCTTCCCTTTCTGCTATTTCAATTTTGTTGTGCAATAGGTATTCTCGAGGTCACGGGTTCAAGCTGTGGAAACAACCTCTTGCAGAAATGCAGGGTAAGGCTACGTATAATAGACCCTTATGGTCCGGCCCTTTCCCGGACCCCGCACATAGCGGGAGCTTAGTGCACCGGACTGCCCTTTAATAGGTATTCTGGAGGCTGACTATGTTTTTTTCTTTTGGATACAGGAGATATTTTGGTCATAAGCCTACCATTCGCCCGAATGGTAGGAAACTATATCGCTTGTTTTTAAACAGAAATTACATGACAGAGAAGGAGTTTGTATATAGAGTTTGTAAATATCAGAGAGGTTTCATGGGAGAGCCTAAGGAGGTCGGACCAAGCTGGGGCGTATTTCATGAAAATCCATCTTCATGCATATGTGAGAAAGTAGATAACGCTACAGCAGAGACTTCGCATAGTACGTCTCGACTCGAAACTTTGCCTAAGGTTACAAGTACTGACTATGACATTGACATATCTGAGAATCCGGAGTTGGACATGTTGCTTTCAGATTAAGAAAGTATCGACGAGAGCTTTTCAAAAAAGTACTTTTGCTTGTACATACACCATTCTTTTGAGCCTTGATCATATCTTCAACAAGTTCAATTTTGAAACATGCTTTGGCCGCAGTTTGGTTGGCTTCTGAAGCCTTGGCATGTAACAAAGGACTATATTGCCGGCTTTGAATTCAGAATGATTAGGATTTGAAGAAGCTCCAATAGTCATTTCAGCTACTGGAATTTTCTGGCAAAACTATCATAGTTCATACGCAAAGACAAGAATATCGCTGATTGTCAAAAACCAACTGCTGCAGAGGCAAATCCAAACTGGTTCAACCTTTAGTTTCTTACCACAGAACTGATTACACTTTTGAAATATCGGTTTAGAGTTTACTAGTTGTTACATTTTTAATAATTTTTCATATGTATACATCTATAATACGTGTCGAAATCCACTGAACTGTTGAATTGGGCAAATGTTGTGAGTGAATGAGTAAGGAATGTGCATCCTTCCTATACTTTATGCTACTATTCGTTTATTTCATTCTTTCTAATATATTAGGTACTTAAATCAATTTTGTCTTATTTTGACATGTTTTAAATAGTTTTGACTTCATTAAAGAACGAGTTTAACAACTTGATTGGTTCTGCTTTCAAAATCATAGTGAAAGTCGTTAAAAGTCTTGGAGAAATCATTTCGACCCAAATTAGGTATGACATAAAATGTTGTTCTGATAAAAATATTCTACTACTACTACTATTATTGTATGTATGACATGTGGTCGTAAAGTAAAGGTGAAAAGGGTCAACGGGATGTAAATAGTCACTAAACGTAGGGGTCGTTTAGTACGTGGGATAAAGGGTAATAATATCGGGATTAAATGTATGATTATTTTATCTCGCATTTGATTGAATTTCTATATCTGGAATTAGCAATCCCGGATTAATTAGTCCAATAATAATCTCGGGATTAATTAATCGTGGAATAAATAATTAAATGACAAAGATGTCATTCTCCAAGGCTCTTCTCCAAAGTATTTAAACAATCCAAGGTTAAAATAAGAAAAAAAAGTGTATCCTAACTTATCTAATATATACCAAACACATATTTATATTATATATCTTATTTTTAGTCAAATGAACCAAACATCTTCCAATAAAAATATATTGACTAAATAATCTCATCACTATTTAATTTTCATATTATAATCCCGGGATAATTTATTCTCTGTCATGTAGTGTTCTACAAGTACTACACTGTTAGTACAGTATGCTCTACCACGTAAAAACATTACTTTTAATGACTATCTTCATCGTGTAATGTCGCGATGTCCCATTTCACCTTACTCTTTTATGCTTCATAAAATACGAATTCTGCTTCTACGAAATATTCTTCAATATAATACATAGAAATACTTTTATCGGAACAATATTTTATGCCATAACTAATTGGGTCAAAGTGACGTCTCCAAGATTAGCGTGTTCGGATTTGTAAAAAAGTTTCAATTATTTAAACGACTTTAACTGTGATTGTGAAAGCAGAAAGTGCAATCAAGTTTCATTTTGTTTTTTGTTTTTGTTAATTGAATACTTAATATATAGACAAAAATTATTGCTAATGAGAGCATTGGAGGCTTGGAGCTTCAGTGGTAGTTGAAACTAAAACCACAATTATTGAATTGAATAAAATGATATAATATAGGTCAATGCTACTATGTAAAATAATTTATTATATCTTAACTCAAAACCAAACTCAAGTTTTATATCCAGGCCATTTAAATTTTTAAAAAAATAATAAAACAATCACTCTAACAAACTGAAAAATCCAATGTTTATTTGTATTATTATGTACTATGTTTACAGTATATTATAAGAGTTTAGCTTATATCCAAGACAGTATAAAATTTTACAATATCTCTGTCATATTACTTTAGTAATATGTGTATAATCTGATTGGAAAGTAAAAGCTCATAAAGGTTCAAACTCCCAACGCAGAAAAGCAATAATTTGAAAAGATAAAAAGAAAAAGATGACACAGCGCACAACACCCATAAAAGTAAAAAAGAAAATTACATAAACATGCAAAGAAAATAAATAAAGAACTCAATATATATCTCCATTCCACTTAATTCTCAGTCTGCTTTGTCCACAATTGTAAATCATTCCTCTCCTTTTTCCCTCTCTTTCTTTCTTTACCAAATCCCTACTCCTCATTTCCCAACTCTCATAACATACAAACGTTATGAGTTTGAGTTTTAAGTTGAGAGTAGAGATTCTGAAATATATATCTAACTCTTATCTCTAGGTCTGAAACACTTATTTTATCGACCCTAAACCCGTGGTTGGATCCGTCACTGTATATAAGTTCATGGAATTAGCACCACAAATATCCATACTTGTAGTCATATTTTGCAGCCTAAATATTATTATTGTGACAATAGAAGCAACATGGTGTGTTGTTAGAAGTGATGCAAGTGCACAAGCTTTGCAAAGAGGTTTAGATTATGCTTGTAGCTATGGTGCTGATTGTGCACCTATTCAATCTTCTGGCCTTTGTTATCTCCCAAATACTATTCAAAATCATGCTTCTTATGCTTATAATAGTTTCTATCAGAGGAAGAATGAAGCCCCTGGCTCTTGTCAATTTTCTGGCACTGCTACTATTGCCAAAACTGATCCAAGTAATCTCTTTCTCCATCTCTTATGCATAATGATAGCAAAAATAATTTTTACATTCTCAGTAGTTTGATATGTAATTAATAGTTGGTTAATTATCTGTTTTTTTTTTCCTATAACTAGCTCCACCTATTGAAGACGGAGCCTTGGAGCAACGGTAAAGTTGTCTCCATATGACCTATAGGTCACGAGTTCAAGTAGTGAAATCAGTCATTAATGCCTGCAATAGGGTAGGTTGTCTACATCACACACCCTTAGGGTACGGCCCTTTCCCGGACCTTGCGCGAACGCGAGATACATTGTGCATCAGGATACCTTTTAACCAGCTCCACCTATTATGAATAATGTAAAAACTTACTCAGCATCCAGTATTTATAGCAAACAAATGAATGTATTTAACTATGGTTAAGTGATTGTATTGTCCCTTTAATTTTTAACCGCTAAAGGTTTAATTATTTGATTTGATGCATGTAAACATTGGGTACGAATAAATATTATTTATGTTGTTATTTTTAGGTAATTTCATAGAATAAAAATTCTCTTACTATATTATATAAAAGTTAAAATCTATACAAAATAGCTAGAACAGAGGCATTAATGGGCTGAGTTGTGATTTATTCTGTATTTTCTTAGGCTATGGATCTTGTGTTTACCCAGCTTCTCCGAGGTATGTTGTTTTAATTAAACTTGCTTTATTAGTCATTTATTTTCCATATTTCTCTGAGTTATTTTTATCATTCGTGATTTTCTATTACCTTTTCTTCTCAGAGTTGTGTTTCAGTTTTATATTTCCTTTTAGTACCCATTATCTTTGATTCCAGACTCCACTTATGAAAATTTACTGGATTTCTTATCTTTTTACTTCTTTTTAGTGTTGAATTTTTGAACATACATTAACATATTGGTGTTCAAAATTTAAAGGGAAAAAGAGGTATAGAATACACCGTCAAATATGAAGAGAAAAGACAATAGGAAAAAAATTGTTTCCTTAAAAAAAAGTGCTTTTTCTTCCACTTTATCTCCCTAAATAATGCTACTTTTCTTTTCTTTTTTTTTAAAAGTAGAACGGCATGAGCAAACTTTTTTCTTCCTTCCTTTTATATATATTAGTGCTTTCTTAGTGTGCGTGACTGGGATTGTATTGATGATGTTCCTGCTGTTCTTGGGTTGTCTTTCTTTTTAATTTTTGTTTTTTATTTATAATATAATTTAATTATATATACACTAACACTGTAAAAATAAATGTAATTTAACTTGTTATAACATTATATAATTCTTGCCTGACTTTTCAGGTTGCTAGTCCAACTTATTACGAATGGTTTACCTGTATATAACATATTTTAGGTGATCTGAAAGTTTAAACGAAAATTTCGTTTAAACTATTAGCTAGTATAAAAGAAGTTAAAATATTCACAATATTACCGTTATTTAAACTTGAGTTTTAATTTATATGGATGTGATTGTCAATATAGCCTTGTCAAATACGTTAGCCATCACATTAATTTGCCATCTCTCTTCTAGGGCTGCTGGTGGGCTGATTCCTCCCGAGGCGGGAGGACGCAACAATACAAGTGGAGGAATCTCGATCATCCCAGTTTTGTATCCGCCACCACCAACAAATATAAACGCCGTGTACGGTAATGGATCGGACATTCCCAACTCTCAAGATTCTAAAGCCACTTCTCCCAAGTTTTGGACAATGGCAAGCTTAGTTCCACCATATTTGATGCTTCTCTTCCTTCATATTTTTCAACATTTGTAGGCATTCTTGGTCCTAGAATGAGGACTTAACTTAGTGCAGTTTTGTAACAAATTGAAAGCTTTATTTTGGGATTTTAAAGACTAGTGTTATCAAAATTAGCTTAAAGCAATGAAACAATGTAAAACAAGGAATTAATTATCATTTCATGAGTGAAACCATGCGCTTCAAAGAAGTGTACGTTTCAAACAATTAATTATCTTTGAATATCAATTTGATCATTGAATTAATATGATATTATTGTATATATATGGTAAATTAGTTACTTTAATAGCAATTTGATTATTGTGTTATTAATCTAATATATGTTTGGTAATTTTATCTAGTACGCGTAGAATTCTAGGAATCTGATTGTAATTTAACGAGGCCAAATTATTCAAATTTAAAATCTCAAAAGATATGCATATTTCACTTGTTAAATATTGAAGAAAATTAATACATTATTAATAAATTCATAACTAAACGTATAAAGATTTAAACTTCTAAGGCGCATATTTTAAATCTACTTAAAAAAAATAAACTCTTTCAAGATTAATGGAAGAACTTTATAATTGTAACTTGTTTCGTAGATTTTATTATCTTATTGACGATACAATGTTTGATTTGGCAAAGATTTGTGTCCAAATTTTCAGCAAAAAGGTATCCAATCGTTTTCTCTTGAAGACAATCTAAGAGATTAACGGTTAAATCTATCTAAATATTTGTTGGCATTTGTCCAATGAAAAAGATATCATGTGCAAATCTTGACATCTTATGTCTTATGCAAAATAAAAACTTTGTTCAATGGAAAAGATTATGTGCATATCTTTAGAATTATTATTAATAACCCTAAAGATTCTATATGGCCGTTATAGATGGGTAATTTTACAAAGAGCATTCTGCTATAAATATGGTTGTTGCTGTTATAGAGAGGTAAAATATAACTTAAAAAATCGATTTTGAGAAAAACTTGGCTTTTATAGTGCTTGAACTAATGGGGACAAAATTTAAATATTGACCTCAAAAAGGCTATTTGTGCAAATGCCTCCTACATAAGTTTACTTGATTTATCTTACTTCACGCCTAAAATCACATGAAGAAAAATAGTCTAAGAAAACATAAAATCTTTAGAAATCAATCAGAAAACATAAAATCTCTAGAAAACAATATTTTATTTAAGATATTATGCATTGGAAGCAAATGATTAGTTATAAGCTATACCAATTGGTTGGGGTTAAAATAGTTACCTATGCAGGAATAAATGAATATTTAAAGGACTCATAACTTAACTTAGGGTAAATTAAGTATTCTATTCATGCATAATTTGTCCTTAAATCATAATGGTACCAATGATCAGTTGTATTGACACCAGCGGCGGAGTTAGAATTTTCAATTAAGGGATTCAAAAAATAACAAAAATTAAATACATGAAAAACTAAGGAGATTCAGCATCTCATATATCCATATATAAAAAAAAAATTACAGATGAAGGTGGTTGAAAATCCCTCTCCGTCCCTAGCTCTGCCACTGATTGACACAAATAGTATATTTGTAATTTTGTAGCCACAAATCAAAAGTTTGAGACTACATTGCACTTGTTCAAATTCTTTATGATCTTGTTACTCAACTTCTTATTCTTTTTTTTCCCACTAATTCAAATTCGAATCGTATAATATTATCTATATTATTATAAAGGGATTTTTTTCTTCCTATACAATATTTGAAACTTATTTACTAAAATTATCCTAATTTTGTATATTACCCGCCCTAAACAAGAATTACTTATAAATTATATACAATCCATTATTAGTGCCTTAAATTAGGAGATTTGGTTACATCGTTTTCCTATTTTCTCTCCACCCCTCTTTCAATAAAACTCCTTCCAAATGTGTATTACTTATTTTAAGCCATATATAGCTTTATTAGTTGAGTAGATACTTTTGGTATCTAACAGTTTTTTAGTGTTAGCGTAGTGTTACGAGATAACTATCTCTTTTCCTTATCAACAAGCTTTTTAGCTTGTCATCATATCATGACGGTAATTGGAGAGGTTTGAAATGAGTTAGATGAAAATCCTCCTCGACGATGAGCAGTAAAGAGTTTTTAGTATTCAGGTGTTTGACTCTCCACCATTGACACCCATTAAAAAGCTTTGAAGTTTTGAATTCGAATTTGGGTTTTCAAAAGCCATTATTTTTGTTTGGATTGGGTGTTGTTGCAAATAATTGAGAATATTATTTGGAGTTTATATCTCAATTTNTTGTCCAAAGATTTTACGAGGTTAATAACTATCGTGCGGGACTTGTAAAGTATCCTGCTTCACTTGATTGGTTAACTTAGATAATACACTAATCTATCATAAATTAATGAAACCTATTTAAATCAGCACAAAAATGGATACATCGTACTTACAATTAATATTATACAATTTGATGGTACAACAACATACATATTTAAAAACAAATTTCGTATAAATTTAATACAAATTGATATATATACAACAACATACATACTAAAAATAAATTTCATACAACTTATTATACAATATATATTTATTTACAACTTATCTACAACTTTCATACATTATTTTTACCCAGTTAATATACATATACAACATCATACAACTTAAATATAATTTTCATACAAATTTTATATAATATGTCTTTTTGTATATTTTGTATCTGGTGTGTGTTTCTTCCTCTCTAAAATTCTAATCAAAACTTTCTCTCTTACTACAATTTTGATACATATCAATAACTTTATGTAAAAAGATTGTATTGATAACTTAAATAAAAATTTTATAGAACGATTCATACATTATACAACTATTTTTCAACTTTCATATAACATTCAAATAAAAAATATATATAACTACAACAGAATACAATTTACATACAATTATACTACAACTTGTAATGACCCAGCCGGTCGTTTTGAGAGTAATAGCCCTGATCCCCTATTTACTGTTTCTCCCGTACCTTTTTCTGCTTATGTGACTTGCGGGAGATTTTGTTTTTGGTTTCGGAGTGTTTTGGGACACTTAGTCCCTAAAACAGGAGCTTAAGTCTTAGAATTTTAACCGTAGTTCGAACTGTGTGAAGACAACTCCGGAATGAAGTTTCGTCGGTTCCGTTAGCTCCGTTGGGTGATTTTGGACTTAGGAGCGTGTCCGGATTGTATTTTGGAGGTCCGTAGCTTATTTAGGCTTGAAATGGCGAAAGTCAAATTTTTGGAGATTTGGACCGGTAGTGGGAATTTTGATATCAGGATCGGTTTTCGATTTCGGAAGTTGGAGTAGGTCCGTAATGTTAGATATGACTTGTGTGCAAAATTTGGGGTCAATCGGACGTGGTTTGTTGGTTTCGGCGTCGGTTGTCGGATTTGAAAGTTTCAAGTTTCTTTAAGCTTGAATCGGAGGATGATTTGTGATTTAACCGTTGTTTGATGTAGTTTGAGGGCTCGACTAAGTTCGTATTTTGTGACTTTTACCTGATTCTGAGACGTGGGCCCGGGTCGACCTTTTGGGGCGAATTTCGAAATTTTTATTAAAATATTGATTTCATTAATCAGATGAGACTATTATGATTGTATTTATGATATGTAATTACTTTTGGCTAGATTTAGGCCATTCGGAACCGGATATTCGTGGAAAAGGCATTTTGACCGATTGATTGGGCTTGGTTCGAGGTAAGTGGCTTGCCTAACTTTGTGGGGGGGAACTCCCCGTAGGATTTGTACTGTTTTTGATATATGAGCGCCGTGTACGTGAGGTGACGAGTACTTACACAGGCTAATTATGTAAAAATCCTATTTTTCTACTAAGTAATAACATGATTTCCTTCTTACTTGAGTTTCATCAGCATATGTAGTATTCTGCTAGACTAGAATAGCATGCCTACTCGTCTTAACTGTTTACTTGAACTACGTACAGCATGTTTAGTGAATTTACCTATCTTTTCTTTACTGGTACTTAGGTTGAACTGTAGAATTTCGTGCCGTAACTATTGAATTCTATTGTTTGGCTACATATTTACTTTGGGACTACGGAACGGTATTCTGGGAGATCTCCTTGTACCTCATATTTACTTTGGGACTACGGAACGGTATTCCTGGAGATCCCCCTATCTTGCATATTTACTTTGGGACTACGGAACGGTATTCCGGGAGATCCCCCTGTACTGCATATTTATTTTGGGACTACGGAATGGCATTCTGGGAGATCCCCATGTCTTGCATATTTACTTTGGGACTACAGAACGGTATTCCGAGAGATCTCCCTCCACATTTACGTTTGGGACTACGAGACGGTATCTCGGGAGATCCCCTGTTGTATTTCAATGTACTGAGCTTCTATCTTCTATGAATTCTTTCTTGTTAAATTTCAGTCTTTATTTTTCTGCAATATTTCATTCTTCCCTTGCCTTATTATTATTTATACTAGTAGGGTCCTGACCTGACCTCGTCACTATTCGATCGAGGTTAGGCTTGGCGCTTATTGGGTACCGATTGTAGTGTACTCATGCTACTCTTCTGCACATGTTTTTCATGTGCAGATCCAGATACCCCTTATCAGCTGCACTATCGATGAGCCGGGATAGCTTTGGAGACTTCAAGGTATATCTATTGCGTCCGCAGACCTCGGAGTCCCCTTCTACTCTTTCCCATGTCCATTATCTTCTGTATTTTCTTTTGATAGACTCTGATGTATATAGACACTAGAATTTCCTTCTGTAGTTTGTGATTCACGATGTTCCGGATTTTGGAAATGCTGTATAGTATAATGAGGAGTTAGTGGTTAAATTTATATTTTCATTTCATTTATTCCGTAAAATGTTAGGCTTACCTAGTCATAGAGACTAGGTGCCGTCACGACGTCATATGGAGGGAAAACTGGGTCGTGACAAGTTGGTATCAGAGCTCTAGGTTCATAGGTGTCGTGAGTTATAAGCCGATTTATTAGAGTCTCGCAGATCGGTACGGAGACATCTGTACTTATCTTCGGGAGGCTATGGAACTATTAGGAAAATTTCACTCCTTTGATTCTTTGTCGTGAGAAAAATTGTTGACTTCAAAAAATTCTAAACTTTTGTATTCTATTCTCTCATAGATGATGAGGACACGTACAAGCGGATCTGATGACCAGGCACTCGCGCCCCCTGCTAGAGCCGCGAGAGTTCGGGCCCGGGGTAGAGGCCGAGGACGTCCATGTGGTG